GCAAGACTTCTTCTGATCCTGTACTATGAGGGTCTTGAAATTTGTGTCGTACAATGTACAAATGTACAATGCAAATTTGCACAGCAATAATTTGTCCTTGCAAGAACAGTCAGTAACAAGTCAACCACTTCCATCCTTGGTTTATACAGTCTGTATCTTGTGTCACATTGCAGAATGTGTATATGGCTGAATCATCTAAAAATACCTTTGTTATTATTGAACCAAAATTGCTTGATTTACCGAGGTTATGATGATACAGTACTTTTGGTATTAAATAAACTGCCTCATTCACTGTAAATGTACATGTACATCTGTAGGCATCTGACAAAATTCATTTTCATTTTTAAGGATTTATTGCTACCCAAAAGGTTTATATTTATTTATAATTTCTTGCTGTTTGTATCTTTTCACAAATTATGTATTAAAATTTTACAAACTGATCAAATAGTACAATATTTTAATTGTTTTTAGCACCCAATCAGCTGAAACTCTTCAAAAGTCTCCAAATATTAAACCAAAGAGGAAGGAGTTTGTAACAAAACTCAGCAAATTTTTGGTGAGTCCATGCTCAATGCTACAACTAAAATGTGTTGCTGAGTTTGTAAGGGTCTCTTATGACATTGTTTTCACTGTTGTGCTTGAATGTGTGTGGACTTGTTCAGTGCCCTCTTTATACATGTACAATGGATATCTATTTTCTAATGTGATTCATCATCCGTACACTGTAGAATCTTGATGAATGGCAGAGTTTGCAGTTGTTTGGCAGCTATTTGGAGAATGACTTTAGAGGCTCTAAACAACAGCTGCTGGTTTGTATTAAAACAGCCATTGATTATAATGAATACATACATGTAGTGAATATGTTATTCTACATGTAACTGTCATTTCACTAGCATTACTTTTTGCAAGTTTATAGATAGAGCCTGTGGCTTGGTCCATAAGCTTGCAGAAACAATAACAGAACCAATGTTTCCCCAATGCTGACCTCATGCTTCTCATTTACCTCTGTCATTTATTTTTAATAATGTAATTGAATCTACAATCTTTGAGTTTTGTATCTTTTCATGCTTGTTACCTGTATATTACATGTATGACTGTATATCTTTATTTTCTTTACAATGTAATTAACCCAGAATATGTTAAAACATGAGGCTCAAACTGAGGGACTTTTATTAAAGGTGTGTTAAAGAAAAGTATGAATTTAATTGTTTCAGTAATGTTACAGATACATGTTTGGTTATTGACCTGTATTTAACAGAATTTAAATAAAGAGAAGAAAAAGGTAAAATATGCACACAGCCTACACATACAAACATGGATTAGGTTTTTGAAGATCTTACAGTGTAGCATTTGATAGTTTTCTGGAGTTTACTTTTTTTCAATATAAATATAAATATAATTATCCCTACTATAGTCAAAAACCCAATATTACTGTAACTACAACAGATACATCCCATTGTTACATGTTAAGTATTGTTATTTTGACTTAATAAATTATTTTCTCCTCTGTTCAGATAATGGAGTACTACTTTGAAGAACGTCTTCACATTTTACAGTGTGTTAAGTTTTTGTTAAGTTACTGGCAAGACCCAAGGCATCCATATAGAGTAGGTCCACCATAATTTAATTCAGATAATTTCCCATTCAGTAATAGTTATGAAACAGATTTGTCAACATTTTGTTAAGTAATAATGTGCATGAACCACAAAGTCATCTAAAAGAACATTTTAATGCAGCATTTAAATGATTGCTGTATTGAATTACAGTACCGATCAGAAGAAACCTAACAGGGAATGCATTTGCGAATGGGAACGGAACGGATAGAGAACGGGTACGAGAACGCGAACGGAATGGGTACGGAACGGATACAGAACGGATACAGAACGGATACCGAACAGAAATGGAACGGATACGGAACGGTTACGAATCACAAAAATGGAAAAAAG